GGGGTCAGATTTTGTGATGGTGCGTGACATGGAGGAGGGGGGGGGGTCAAAAAGTGGCCTAAATCGCGTGACGTAATATGTGGACGACCCCTTACAAGTGTTGAGCAGTTGAACAATTAGTTTATCAGTGAAGGTTTCTCAGCGCTGCAACTTAATTTTGATTACAACTCCTTGGTAACTCTTTAAATTAGTCCAAGACGATCTTAGACAAATTGAATTTACAAAACGACTTTTTTCTGTTGCAGGTTTTTACGCCACAAAATCGGTGCAATGTGCACCACACAATTTTTATTGTAAATCATGCTTTGTGATGAACACTGAAACTCAGACCACAGAGAAGTCATTTGAGGGCACGGTTTGTAACAAGAAGTTAGCAGGAGTAACTGATCAAAAATACATCTCCGAACACATACAAGAGAAAATCACGGAAAATCAATTTGATTGCACCGTGTGCTACAAGAAGTTCTCTTCGAGTTACAGTTTACGTGTGCACCACCGACTACACACAGGAGAAAAGCCCTTTAACTGTGTCGTCTGCGACAAAAAGTTCACCCATATGGCTAATCTCGATCACTATGTATTTTGTCACAGAGGAAAAATGCCATTTGACTGCACGGAGAGAGAAAAGAAATTTACAACGAAAGTGGAGATGAGCAGGCACTTTCAAACCCATACAGGAGAAGAGCAATTTAACTGCACTGTTTGTAACAGGATGTATAAGACAGGGGCTAGTCTAAAAGTTCACCTCCGAACACATACAGGAGAGGAGTCGTATGGCTGCACGTTTTTTAATAAGAAGTTTACAACAGGGCACCAGCTTCAAATTCACCTGCGAACACATACAGGAGAGAAACCGCATGGCTGCTCGGTTTGTTATAAGAATTTTAAAAGCGGAAGTGAGTTAAAAATTCACCTCCGAACCCATACGGGGGAGAAGCCATTTGAGTGCAACGTGTGCTTCAAGAAGTTCACTCAAATTGGTCATCTCAAAGAGCATGGAATGTCTCACACAGGTGAAAAGCCATTTGAGTGCACGGTTTGTAATAAGAAGTTTATAACAGGGGGTAAGCTAAAACTTCACCTCCGAACACACACAGGAGAGAAGCCGTATGGATGCACGGTTTGTGATAAGATGTTTACAACAGGGCACCAGCTGCAAATTCACCTACGAACACATACAGGAGAGAAACCGCATGGCTGCCCAGTTTGTTATAAGAAGTTTAAAAGAGGAAGTGATTTAAAAATTCACCTCCGAACTCATACGGGGGAGAAGCTAATTGAGTGCAACGTGTGCTTCAAGAAGTTCACCCAAAGTGGTCATCTCAAATCGCATGAAATGTATCACACAGGTGAAAAGACATTTGAGTGCACGGTTTGTAATAACAAGTTTGCAAGAGGGAATGAACTAAAAATACACCTCCGAACTCATACAGGAGAGAAGCCCTATAGTTGTACGGTTTGTAATAAGAAGTTTATAACAGGGGGTAAGCTAAAAATTCACCTCCGAACACACACAGGAGAGAAGCCATATAGCTGCACGTTATGTAATAAGAAGTTTACAACAGGAGGTGATCTAAAAAGACACCTCCAAACCCATACTGGAAAATAGCCATTTGCGTGCATCATGTGAAAAAAAGTGAAATGAAAACAGAATATTGTCGGAAAGTGTACCTCTGAATCCACAAAATAGAAAAGTCAGTCTAAAAACGCACCTCGAAATCCGATAGCCTGTTCATATGTTCCGTCGAGGTATGAAGTAGAAACATAGTTAAGAGCACGCTAATGAGGGAGGCCCAGCGATTACACCGTGTGCCACTAGTCCATTTCACAAAGTAGAAACCTGAGAAGATACTTCTGACACGAGACAACTACTCTTTTAATCAAAACAAACGCCAATGTAACCTACTTTTAAGATTTAAGAAAAATACATCAATGAAAATATTAATCGTAATAAATATTAATTTCAACCAGATTTGGGTAAAATTGTTATTTAACACAGTAAAACTTTTTTTTAATCACTCATTTTTGGGGTCTCCGACTCGCATAATACTCCGTACACGGGTCGCATAATACCTTTATAATACTTTAAAATACTCCATGATATGTCACAGAATACCGCAAAATACCCCCATATTACCTTGGAGTACCCCATAATACTATAAAATCGTATGTAATATTTAATAATTACAAATAATATGACATAAAATATCTTAAAACGTGCCATAATACCGCATATTACCGTAATACTCCGTACACTGCTGAGGTGAGTTGAAGACCCCTCGTCATTTTTGGTGTTCTGTACTGTTTTACGACGCAGATGCAGCCTGCCAGTGAAGCAGCGGTACCCTCGCGCTCCCTCGGGCGGGTGCCCCGCGGCTGCCCACCCTTCGGCCGCCGTGTCACCATCAGTCATCACTTCGGCGGTGCAGTGGCGCATCCCATTGAGACCCGCGCTGGTGGGGCGGGCGGGGCGGGGTGGGGCAGGAGCTGCTGGGTGAGGAGCGGGCGAGCGGGAGACAAGGTGAACCGCCCCCTTACATGGACCGGACGAACCATTTATCAGTGAAACACGCAGAGGAGTCAAAGGGGAGGCGACTTCTCCGCGCGCGCGGTGTGGTGGGCTACGTCTGGGCGGGGCGGGGCGGGGTGGGGTGGTGGCTAGGAAATTAGCGATCGGGCGTTCCGATAGCCCTCCCTCGCTGGAGCGGCGCGCCGCGGCGCCTGCCTGTTTCCGCGTGCACTGCAGCGCGCCTGCCAGCAGCGCGGCGTTGGCACCCCTTGCAGTCGCCTTGTCGCCACCAGTCGCGAAATGTAACAGGGATCGTTAGAAGGCTGAAACGGTGGAACCACTCGAGGGAGGTGGGGGGGCGGGGGGGGGGGGGATTAGCTGTTTGGTCGCTAAACCAATAGCTAGACAATTATTTAGTTCCGTTAAAATTTAAAAGTGCATCTCAACATTTCGAAGCAGGGCTGCTAAATGGTTAGCGAGACAGCTAATTAATTTAGCCACATGGCTAAATGATTAACCAATCAGCTAAATTAGTTATCTCGCCGTAGCTCATGCTTTAGCTACTGTAGCAATTCATAGTTTTTTTGCCATGTATGTGGTGCAGTATGCATAGTTCTAAACATTTGACGTTCTTTGGTAACTGCACACTGGTTAAACAAGTGTTTAATTTTGCACGTTAATTGACGTTTATGTTCAAATGTGCATTTTCTCGACACTTTGTGGTGTCTAACTATGTTATACGTCAATTGGTGTTTAAACTTTCGACACTTCCGAAACGTATAGCAGCTGCACACCGTATGGTTTCCTATTAACAGCATAGAACTGTGTGTCCAAGTGTGCAGAATTTAAACGTTTACAAAACGTCTAAAATTTGCACACCACGCAAGTGTGCAACTTGAGTTAAACACCATGTAATGTGCTAAATCACAACTTGCACACGTTTGGTGTGCAAATATTGCACACTTGTTTTACCAGTGGCACTGCGTCGACAGGAGCTACCTGATCGTAAAGAGATGGGGAGCAGGAGAGAGTTTGAGTTTGGAGGGGAGGGGGTCTCTCACCAGAGTTCCAGTCCTCACCCTGGCGCGGGCAGCCCTGTTCGCAAAGCTCCTCGGAAGAGCTCGAAGCTCCGCCGAAGCTGCGCCGAAGCTCCGTTGCCCGCCGCTCGCTTGCGGTGGTGGGGCGCGGCGCGGCGGTCCGGACGGGACGGTGCGAGCGACCTTTGAGAGCGCCTTGTACGGGACGCTCAAGGGCCGCTCGGGCCGCCGAGGCGCGCCTCGCCGCGATCAGGTGTTCTGGACCTGCTGATGAATGTAATCAAGAGGAAGCTCTGCGAGCTCTGCAGCTCTCCGGCTCAGACAAATAAACAAACGGTCGTCCTGATCCCTATCGAAGCTGCTAGAGCGGGGCGGGGCGGGCTGAGCTGGGAGGTGGCGGCTGGTGGTGTCTCGGTGCCCTCACAGCCGCCAAGTTGGTCGCTGAGTAAATTTTACGTTCTCCACCCGGCGGAAAGAAAGTGCGAAAAGAAACTCTTGAGGTTCAGATTCAAAAGAAAGGCGAAATGCCTGACCATTTTTCAGTGCAGCCAGACAGTTGCAGTTTAAGGGACTTCAAAAACAATTTTTCGAAAGGCTTCCGGCTCGCCTGTCCCGCTTGGCCGGCCGGCTGGGTGGGGCGGCAGTGCGAGGTAGCGTACCTGTCCGCAGCAAGTGCAAATACAGCGTCCATGAACTCGGCCGCGGCGCGGCAAGCCGCCCCACGCCACGTCACTCCGTCGCCCGCCACGCCCCGCCCCGCCACGCCCCGCCACGCCCCGCCACGCCCCGCCACGCCCCGCCACGCCCCGCCCGATCAATGACCGCACATGTTGCCGCGCAGCGAATGTAGACGAGAAAAATAAATAATATCAAAATATGAGGATCGTTGTTTTGTGGCGGGTGGAAGCAGCGACGAGCAAAAGGACTGGGGCTCAGTTTCAGATATGTGAAAGTCCATTTCAAAACTCCCTTCAAACAGTAGATCGTTTGTTTAAAAAAGGCTGTGAAGCTTTGGGCAAAAATCACGAGTATTTCCTTAATGGAGTATGTTATGTAGAACTGTTCGTATTGTTTTTAAAATTAAATGAGTTAAATCTTTCTAATTGCTTCCGAAATTCAATTAATGAATGGCGTTCTCCTTTCCCGATCGGTCTCCGATCTACGCAACTCAGCTGATTTGGCGCGCCTCGCCTCGGGCTCTGTGCAGAAAAGTCATTTTGGTTTTGGCGCGCTTTGGCACGCCTCCACGTGGGCGGCCGGCCGCGCGCCTGCCAGGCCGCCCGGCCCGGCCTCCATATTCTAATTTATCATATTTTGGTCAGAGCTCCTCTCCAGCTGCGTCCAACAAAACACTGTCACGCATGACGGGCCCCAAACACAAGAGGCACACCGCTGCATGCCTTCATATTGTAAATACGCCAGGCCAACTCGCCAACGAAATGCCTGCCAATAGTCCGTCGGAGAGACTATTGTGTGTATAGCTTTTTTAAAATCCTCTCGCTGCTTTGGTGACTCCTCCTGGACCAGCTGATGAGCGACCCGTGGGAGGACCACTATGGCCGGGCCGATGGACGAAGGTTAGGGACCCGGACCCGGCCAAGCCGCACTAACTGAAGGCTACAGGAACCAAACGTCCGCCCAACCCATCGCGAAGAGCGGAAACAGCATCAGTGTTTTAAGAAATGAAATGAGTCAAGTAGACGATCTGCGTTTGAGGAGAAGAACGCTGCTAGCAAAAGGAAGCAACCGGCATGCACTTGGTAGTGTGCACGTCGTGGTGCACAGGTTTAGGTGTAGGACTGGAAATCTGAGTTTAACAGTAAATTGAAAATTAACAGTAAATTTGAACGCTTCAAAGTGTCCAAAGCTGCATGCCCGACCCTGCAGTTTAACATTTTTTAAGTCTTGTCCAACTTTACTGTTGAACACTTTTCAGTATTACTGGGTGCACGTGCGCGTAGCGCTAAAAACTGTCAGAAAATATCGCGATATTGTAGCAAGTGGCAGAACAATCGGTACGGGATAGCTTATTCACTCACTCGGTGCTAGGTGCGCCTGGCGGGTAGTCCGGCTTGTGTGTCTTTTCTCACGACCGCCAGTGCGTTGCGACATAAATATGACCTCTCGACCACCCCGCCCCGCCACCCCCCGCCCCACTATGAATGACATCTGACTCACTGTTGAATCACCCCGCCGCCGCGGCGTCCTTCCCTCGGCCACCCACAGCCGTGGGCCGGGGTGAGGCGGGGCGGGGCGGGCTGGGGCGGCGGGCCCGGCCGGTGCGGTGGCCGCGCTGCAGTCCTAAACGAATATTAATGGGCGTGGGCGTGGCGGCGGCGCGGGCGTCTGCGGCGTTAGCCCGCGTTAGCTGGCGTTAGCAAGGCGTTAGCTGACGTTAGCAAGGCGTTAGCGGCGGCGAGGCGGGGCGCGCGTTAATTTCGGGAACGGGGCAATCAAATCGCAGTACATCCAAGGAGGAGGATAAAGACGGGCGGCGCGCGGCCGACTCGCGGCTCGTTCGTGCACGCCCACGCCATCGATCGGGCGGGAACGACTGTTCGCGAGACGTTCGGGCAATAAGTGTCGAACTGCGCGGCGTTTAGTCGGGGTGGTGTGCGTCCGTCGTCCGTCGCTGCGGGTCTCCTTCGAGATGCGGTGGGCTGCTCGGCCGACAACAGGCGCCTTCACCGCGGTTTGGCGCCGTTCGTGGCGTTATGACAATCTGGTAATGCACCGAATGCATTCAGCGCGGCGGATGTGCTGCACCGGTGGGGGTTTATCGTCGGTGCGACAGTGTGCGGAGAGAGAGCGAGGGAGAGAAAGAGAGAGGTACCAAAATAGGGAAACTGGTGAAAGAAAGAGCGAAGAGGCACGCGGGGATTTTTTTTTTTTTGGAAAGCCCGGAAAAGGCGTTTAAAAACAGCATTTGGAAAATAAATGTTAATTATCTAGCTTTTGGAAAAGAGCGGGGGATTGTAAGAAAGGGGGGGGGGGGCGTTGTGCGAAGTAGTTACAACATCAAAAGAATTGCAGTTTTGTTAGCTTACTTTTTTAATTGACCAAGCTGCAGGTGTAACCCGCACTCTTGGAAGGCTGTATCAATATCGTGTGGGAGACATTTCAATACGAGGGATTTGCAATTTGCATAATGGTGGCGCGTATCGCGGCAGGCGGGGGCGGGAGGAGAAACCGTTTCTTTTTTAAAAAAAGTTTCTCACATCGCTGTGTGTAACTTCGTGATTGTCAGTCACAGGGTACTAAATATGATAGTGGAACAAATATTTCAAATGTAAAGTAAGGTTGGTCATCACGTGGCTCTGGTATCTTCTTCACGTGAATCTCACAGAAAAAAAAATTGTCGCTTGCTTCAGTTTATAGAAGGTATTTAAAGAACTGAAAAAAAAATATT